GGGTTGGTTCCAAGTCTTTGTTATTGTGAACAGTGCCACAATAAACATACATGTGCATGTGTCTTTGTAATAGAATTATTTATAATCCTTTGGGCATATACACAGTAATGGGATTGCTGAGCCAAATGGTATTTCTAGTTCTAGATCCTTGAGGAATCACCACACTGTCTTCAACAATGGTTGAACTAATTTACACTTCCACCAATGGTGTAAAAGCGTTCCTATTTCTCCACATCTCCAGCATCTGTTGTTTCCTGACGTCTTAATGATCACCATTCTAACTGGTGTGAGTTGGTATCTCACTGTGGTTTTGATTTGCCATTCTCTAATGACCAGTGATGATATGCATTTTTTTCGTATGTTTTTTGGCTGCATAAATGTCTCCTTTTGAGAAGTGGCTGTTCATATTCTTGCCAACTTTTTGATGGGTTGTTTGTTTTTTTCTTGCAAATTTGTTTAAGTTCTTTGTAGATTCTGGATATTAGCCCTTTGTCAAATGGGTGAATTGCAAAATTTTTCTCCCATTCTGTAGGTTGCCTGTTCACTCTAACGATAGTTTCTTTTGCTGCACCTTGCACGTTTATGTTATGGAGATGACTTCTTTCCTTAAGCCTTATGAGCCAACACTTACTAACTTCGATGTTTTCTTCCACCACTTCTTCACTTGTCCCAGCCTTCATGTAATTGAATAGTTAGGGCCTTGCTCTGGATAAGGCTTTGGCTTAAGGGAATGTTGTGACTGGTTTGATCTTCTATCCAGACCACTCAAACTTCTCCATTATCAGCAATAAGGCTGTTTCATTTACTTATTTGTGTGTTCACTGGAGTAGCATCTTTAAACTTCTTTCAAGAACTTTTCATGTGCATTCTCAACTTGGCTAACTGGTGCAAGAGGCCTTGCTTTTGGCTTATGCTGGCTTTTCAACATGCCTTTTTCACTGAGCTTAATCATTTCTGCCTTTTAATTTAAAGTTGAGACTTGCAACTCTTCCTTTCACTTAACACCTAGAGGGCACTGTAGAGCTATTAATTGGCCTAATTTCAATATGGTTGTGTCTCAGGGAATAAGAAGGCCCAAGGAGAGGGAGAGAGGTAGGGGAATGGTCAGTGTGTGGAACAGTCAGATCACACACATTTATCAATTAAGTTAGCTGTTTTACACAGACATGGTTTGTGGTGTCCTAAAACAATTACAATAGTAGTATCAAAGATCACTGATCACAGATCACCATCACAGATATGATAATCATGGAAAAGTTTGAAATATTGTGAGAATTACCAAAGCATGCCACGGTGACAGGAAGTGAGCACCTGCTGTTGGAAAAATGCTGCAAATAAACTTGCTTAATGTAGGGTCACTGTATACATTCAATCTGTTAAAAAAATGCATGATCTGCAAAACAATAAAATGAAGTGCAATAAAAGAAGGTACAAGAGAAGGGTATGGAAAGCACTGGGTAGAGCTCTTAGTAAATGTTAGTTATTGTTATCCTCATTTTACAGACAAGAAAACTGGCTTAAGAAGTGAGCTAAGGAGCCAGGCATGGTGGCTCACACCTGTAATCCCAGCACTTTGGGCGGCCAAGGTGAGCAGATCACTTGAGCTCCAGAGTTTGAGACCAGCCTAGGCAACATGGCGAAACCTGTCTCTATTAAAAAAATACAAAAAATTAGCTGGGCATGGTGGCACATGCCTATAGTCCCAGCTACTTGGGAGGCTGAGGTGGGAGGATGGCCTGAGCCAAGGAGATCGAGGCTGCAGTGAGCTGAGATCGAGCCACTGCACTCCAGCCAGGGTAACTGGAGTGAGACCTTGTCTCAAAAAGAGAGACAGAAATAAAGTGAGAAGTGAGATAAAGCATAGGGTACAAGTCCACACAGGCTACATTTAAGTAGGATAGGTTTAGTGCCCTTAGGATCCAAGTGACTTGGTTGGTGAGGGAGGGACCCCTTGCCCTGCCGTTTCTGCTGGCTCTCCTCAGTGCATGTGACACTGTTCTGGGGGTCAGTTTTCAGTGCCAGCTGTAGTCTGCCCTCCTGCTCCCACACATCCCTGCCTCCTGCAGGCCACTCCTCCCACCCCTTCCTCTGTAGGCGCACTGTTCTCTGGCTCTGTCTCAGCCCTCCCGCCCCAACTCTTCTGCGATTCCCCAAGCCTTACACATATCTCTCAGTGAGTGGTGAACTGAGTTATGTGATACAGAAATAAGAACAGTGCAAATCTTTATAGGCATATTTATAGATCACATACGTGAAAAGAATATAAAATAACAACAGGAATGATCTTTTGAAATATCTCTTTAGCCTGCTTTGAACCAGCCTGATGAAAATGAACACCTCTGACAAGCATAGGTATGTGTATGCCCCTGAGCTGCACTTCTCCATCTTACAACAACTCAGAACGTATTTTAAAATTTGATTTCCAATAAGTAGTCTAGGCTTATATTTTCCTGTTTTATAGAATGGCTACAAAAGCTTCTATGAATAATAGCAGTGACTCATAGACATTAATTAGTGTCAGGCACTTTATTGACACTTGGTGAGTGTCAACTGGAACCACACTCACTGGGTGAGAGGGCTTAGTACATGTTAGCTACATTTTATTTTATTATTAGATGGAGACTTGCTGTGTCGCCCAGCCTGGAGTGCAGTGGTGCAATCTCGGCTCACTGTGATCTCCACCTCCTGAGTTCAAGCGATTCTCCTGCCTCTGCCTTCCTAGTAGCTGGGCCACCAGCTGTGCCACCACATCCAGCTAATTTTTTTTTGTATTTTTAGCAGAGATGGGGTTTCATTATGTTAGCCAGGATGGTCTTGATCTCCTGATCTCGTGATCTGCCTGCCTCTACCTCCCAAAATTCCAGGATTACAGGAGTGAGCCACTGTGCCTGGCCAATGCTAGTTATTGTTATCCTCATTTTGCAGAAAGGAAAATAGGCTTAAGAAGAGAGATAAGGCCGGCTGTGGTGGCTCACGCCTGTAATACAGGCACTTTGGAGGCCAAGGCAGGTGGATCACCTGAGGTCGGGAGTTCAAGACCAGCCTGACCAACATGGTGAAACCCCTTCTTTATAAAAAAAAAATAATAATAAAATAAAAAAAGAAAGAAGTGAGATAAAGTAATAGGGTATGAGTCCACAGGCTATATTTGTAACTAGGACAGGTTTAGTGCCCTTAGGAATCATATCAACTTAATTAGTAACCAATTGACACTTAATTGGTGTCGGGCACTTTACACACATTTTCTTCTTTAATCCAGTGAGTAGTACTGTTGTCTCCATTGACAGATGAAGAAACAGGCTTTGAGGCATTAAAGCAATAAAGCCACACACAAGGGAAGTGTGACGGCAGTGCTTCAGGCTCTGCGGGCCGCGCTCCTCACCACACGTACTACTGCCTGCCTGGCACTGGCGCTGGCTAGAGAAAGGAACTTCAATTAGGGATGCTGTGGAAGGAACTTCAGCATTTGTTCCACGAGTAATTGGTAGCTCCTGCTCTGTGTATGCCAGGCACCGTGCTAAGTTCCAGGACAGGGTTTAGACTTTCTCTTTGATGAGAGGTGCCCATGTATGTGGGAAGCTGTGTGGGGAGAGGGGTACGGGGTCGGAGATGGTTGGTTTAGATGAAAGGTCTCCAACTCAAATGTCTGCATGCACCAGGCAGATCATACAATGTACCAAAGACAATAGGAAACAGTGAGGGCTGTGGGTGTGCCCGTCAGAAAGCCAGGCCATCATTCACTCCCACAAACTGTCAACAAGAGGAAATATCTTCTCAATGTTACCAAATATTCTGTTTTTTTTTTTTTTTTTTTTTTTTTTTTTGAACAGATCCTGGAAATCCAGTGTATATGGAATTTCCCAGTTAAAAAACAAACACTGTGTGGGCCAACTAAAGCACTGGAGAACTTGGTGACCTGCAGGCTTCGAGTGTGTAACCTCTGGCCACTTTCAAAGGCCTCTTCCAACTCTAGGACTCAATTCTAGGAAAAGCCTCCGATCACTGTGATTTACCAGCATTTTGCCCGAGTACTGAATATGTTAAACACGAAGGTTTGGTAGAATGAATAAAAGCCAGTTGTTTGTGGTATCAGCAGGAGTAAGAAGGAAACAAATAAAAATATCTAAACATGCTGCATAAACAAATGGGTGGGGGGGGCGTCAGATAGTTCAACTGTTCTGGTTCATGGTCATTTAGGTAGTTTCCAAACTCTTATAAAAAATTGCCTCAATGACTAGTCCTGTACATTTGCCACTTTGCACAGGTAAACTAGACGTGTAGAGTGGTAGGTTAAAGGACATACATGTCTGTGATTTTTATATTGCTGTTGCACTGTCCATTACAGAGGCATGTAACTCTTACCAGCAACACGGGATGCTGCGTTTCTCCCCATTCTTCCCCAACATAGTGCGTTACCGAGTAGTTTTATTTCTGACAATCCAAGTAGTTATTAGTGCAGTGTTAATTTGAACTTTTCTTACTATGAAGGAGGTTGAGCATATATTCATATATTTAAGAGCTGTTTTTATTTCCTTTTCGCTGAATTATTTGCTCAAATCTGTTGCCTATTTTGTTTTTTCTATCGGGTGGTTGCTCTTACAGATTTTTAGGGGTCTTTATATATTAAGAAAATTAGCCCAATGTAGAGTCGTAAATATTTTCCTCAAGTTTATAATTTTATTTTTAGCCTATGATAGTCGTTTAATGCAGAATCTTTTATTTTTATGAAAGCAAACATGTTGACCTTTCTTCTATGCATTCTGGATTTTTTGGGTCATGTTTAGAAAGACCTTCTCCACATCTAAGTTTAAAGACATTCTCTTATACTGTCTTTGTTATTTTAATGAATTTTAAAATGCTTTCAAGTCTTTGACTGAGTTTGAATTTATCTCAGTGTATGATGTGAAGTATGAAGTCAATCTAATTCTTCTTCCCAAATAGCTACAGGGTTGTCCTAAAACCTTTATAGAACAGTTAACTTAGAACTTTCAACAGCCTACCTCTGTATATTTTCGACTTCCTCGATGGTCTCGGGCAAAGCCTTCCCTTTAGTTTCTGGTAGCAACAGCACCAGACCTCCAGCAACCAAGCCAACCGCAGCTGAAAGCCAAACAGATGAAAATCACATTACGAACTGAAAAACCCAAGGTCTATAATTATAGTTCCTTTTATTTTTGTTTAAAACATTTTTTGGGTGTTTTTCTGTACCTATTTACAGATTCCTTTGCCTTTTGTGATGCTGTATTTTCCATTATAAATATTATATCAGTTCCAAACTCCATTGAATTACAATTCCTAATAGGGAAATGAAATACTTAACATTTTGAGTCAAGGTTATTCTAGGGTAGAGGACACTGCCACCATATGAAGATATTTTGGAGTTAGAAAATAACTCTGCAAAAAATTAACTGTATGAAAAGGAGGGCCATAACCCTGCCAGTATAATGCACTTAGTAAGAAAAATAAGTCAGAAACTTGGATCATTTCTAGAAAATAAAAATGAATTATGTATTTATTACTATGTAAGAGCACTAAAAAGCATAGCCAGGATTTTAGTTAAAATTTAGGTGTTCACTAAATCCCATTATTCCTTTTTTTTTCCCTTTGTCTCTAGATATAATCTTTAATAATAAACACCTGTTTTTGTTTCTTTAGATTCTAATAAAAGTTTTGATCTTTTAAAGTTGTATTTATATGTGTTTTAAAATAATAGAATACAGAAAATAGGATATGGGTGCTTTACTAGTTTTGAGGTCTCAAAACACTGCATGTCAGTCTCTATCTTTACACCCTCAGAAAATGGCTGAAACGGAAGCTGCAGGGAACAGAACCCAAGCTCTGGAAACCTGGGCTCCAACTCTGGCCCCCTCACCTACTGGTCTCAGGGCCTTCGGAAGTTCTGTCATCTCTCTGATGCTCCAGACTTTCCTATATGAAGTGGGATAATACACTGTCAAATCAAGTTTAGCTTACAGCTGCCTCCTTACATATTTTAAGTTTGGGCTAAAGGTTTCTCTATACATTGTGAACTATAGATGGAATTGTAAACACACTGTAGCCCACACCTGTGCTAAGTGAAACAGCCTTTGCAAAACTGTGACTGAGATGATGAAAGAGATCTAACTTAATCAACTACATCTTACTTCTAACCTCCAACCTGTCCTTGCTCAGTCTTGGGTGTAGGCTGAACTAACCTGGGGAGAAACTTATAGATTAAAACAAAGATGACCACAGCCAAAGCAGACCTCTTTGTTACCTCGGGACTAGGTTGCCTTTGTAGGACTCACATTAGCCACACAATTAGAAATGATGGTTTAGGAGTCATGCAGCTGGAGGCTACAGGATTCTGACCATTTCTAAACTGCTGGTAAAATCAGTGCTGGAGATATTTTGCAGACCCTGCACTTGGTGGATCAGCTAGCACTACCCAAATCAATAAACTGGCTCATCTGATCTTGTGGCCCCACCAAGAACTGACTCAGCACAAGAAGACAGCTTTGACTCCCTATGATTTCATCCCCATTCAATCTGCACCCTTAGCTAACTGTCTTCCCCCAACCCACCAAGTTGTCCTTAAAAACTCTGCTCCCTAAATGCTCAGGAGATTGGTATGAGCAATAATAAAACTCCAGTCTCCCACACAGCCGACTCTGCATGAATTACTCATTCTCTATTGCAATTCCCCTGTCTTTAGAAATTGGCTCTGTCTAGGCAGCAGGCAAGGTGAACCCCTTGGGCGGTTACACAGTCACCGAGTTTTAGCCAGTCAAATGCAGCCAACTGTTCGAACCATGTTCAAATAAGGCAAACGCCAAGCCATAACCAATCCAGCTGTTTCTGTACATTGCTTCCAATTTCTGTATGTGGCTTTCCTTTTTCTGTCCATAAATCTTCTACCATGTGGCTGTACTGGAGTCTCTGAGCCTCCTCTGGCTCAGGAGGCTACCTGATTCACAAATTATTCTTTGCTCAATTAAATTCTTTTCAATTTAATTCAGGAGAAATTTTTCTTTAACAATACCACCTCATAGATGTAAACCAAAAATAAAGATTGAAGACCCCCAATTGGTTGAATTGAACTGAAAAACTTCAAGGTTTTTCCACTCCCACTCCTTCCCATTCAAACCATGATGGGAAGAAGTAGGGGTTATACATGTCTCATTACACCCTCTCCTTTTTGGGATTCAAGCACAATTCACCAGTGTTAACATTAAAACACATCTTAAGATTGACACAACAGACTCTTTGTAGAAATAAGACAGCAAATTCTGACCTGAATAATGTCACATGACAAAGAAGGAAATTAAAATATTTTACCCCAAAACATATTTCCTTGTCCTATTTTGAAATAGCCTGGCAAAGCCATCTTTTGTGGGGAAAATTTGCATCTGTAAAGAATCTCTGTTACAATAACTACATCTTTCCCCTTCTAGACCCTCCCTATCCTGAAGAGATTAGCTGAGAATCTAGCACCTTTTAAAGGTCTGAATAGGAAACACTTGCCATTGTCTCTAAGGGCACTAACTATGAGATTTCATCTATATAATAAAGGCCTTGGTTTCCATACATCTTTAGATAATAACTCTTCAAAGCAATTGCCAATCAGAAGATCTTTGAATCCACCTACGACCTGGAAGCCCCTGCTTTGAGTTGTCTTGCCTTTCTGGACCAAACCAATGGATATCTCATAAGTATTGATGGGTGTCTTTTGTCTCCTTAATATGTATAAAACCAAGCTGTAACCCAATCACGTTGGATACATGTTCTCAGGACCTCTTTTTTTTTTTTTTTTTTTAGATGGAGTTTCGCTCGTTACCCAGGCTGGAGTGCAATGGCGCAATCTCGGCTCACCGCAACCTCCGCCTCCTGGGTTCAGGCAATTCTCCCACCTCAGCCTCCTGAGTAGCTGGGATTACAGGCACGTGCCACCATGCCCAGCTAATTTTTTGTATTTTTGGTAGAGACGGGGTTTCACCATGTTGACCAGGATGGTCTCGATCTCTTGACCTTGTGATCCACCCGCCTCAGCCTCCCAAAGTGCTGGGATTACTGGCTTTCTCAGGACCTCTTGAGACTGTGCCTCAGGTCATGGTATTTGGCTCAGAATAAACTCTTTAAATATTTTACAGAATTTAGTTTTTTTCCTTGACACGTCAGAGGTGTTTGAAATACAGCAACTTTACCTTGACTAGGGAATGGGCAAAATAAGGCAGAGACTTACTGGGCTACCTTCCTAGATAGTTAGGCATTCTAAGTCACAGGATGAGATAGGAGGTCAGCACAAGATACAAATCATAAAGACCCTGCTAATCCAACAGGCTACAGTAAAGCCAGATGAAACCCACCAAAACCAAGATGGCGATGAGAGTGACCTCTGTTAGTTCTCACTGCTACACTTCCACCAATGCCATGGAAGTTTACAAATGCCATGCTAACATCAGGAAGTTACCAACTCATGAGTAGTCCATCCTTTGTTTAAGCGTGTAATCAAGAAATAACCATAAAAATGGGCAACTAGGAGCTGATCTGCCTGTCGAGTAGCCATTCTTTATTCCTTGACTTTCCTATTTGTTTTCACATTACTATATGGACTTGTCCTGAATTCTTCCTTGCATAAGATCCAAGAATCCTCTCTAGGGGTCTGCATCAGGACCCCTTTCCAATAACATTTTCCTGGTGAACTGTAAAGGGATGATACTGAGGAGACCCCCGAGCCCAAAGGAGTTAGACTGTAGCACTGATTAGCCAACTTTGGGTAAGTAGTGGGGTACCCGGGTAAAGGACGTGATTGGGTCAGGGGCCCAATTTAGGGGAGTTAGAGTCTCTCCTAAGACAGAGGGTTGGCTGGGTGCAGTGGCTCATACCTATAATCCCAGCACTTTGGGAGGCCAAGGCGGGTGGATCACCTGAGGTCGGGAGTTCCAGACCAGCCTGACCAACATGGAGAAACCCCATCTCTACTAAAATTACAAAATTAGCCAGGCCTGATGGTACATGCTTGCAGTCCCAGCTACTCAGGAGGTTGAGGCAGGAAAATCGCTTGAACCCAAAAAACAGAGGTTGCAGTGAGCCGAGATTGTGTCATTGCACTCCAACTTGGACAATAAGAGCAAAACTCCATCTCAAAAAAAAAAAAAAAGGAGAGAGACGGTTAAAAGCCCCTCTTAATAAAAGGCAATGACACTTGACCGAACTTGGATTTGAGACCTAACTTAGGAAGTTTAGAGTCCTTCCTAAGATATTGAGGGGTTACAGGCCCCTCGCAGTAAAATCTCTCTCAGCTCAGAACAAGTTTGGCACTATGGGACTTTCTTTGAATTAATTTCTCTTGCACTCTGCTGATGGCTATGGGTGATAGGATTCGGCATATTCAGGATCATGGAATATGGGGAGCTTTATTTCTCCCTAAGAGTGACACTTGAGAGCTGATAGGACAGTTGGAAAAGATTGCTTCACTACTGATGAGCAGTCACCTGAACCTTTCAGTGTTGCTTTAATAGGTGGGGTTTTTTCTGGCCTCCCTGAGCACCTTGCCTTTCCCACCCTGGTGCAGGTAATGTTTTTCTCTCTTTCTCTCCGTTCTCTTTTCTATTTTTCCTGTTACTCAGGGCAACTGTCTGCTCTTTCATCTTGCCCAGAGATCGTATGTTGAAAAATGTCCTTGGGAGCTTGAACTTGTAACCACATGGCAGTTTTTTCTCTTGGTTTCCACCATCCAACAGACGGGAATTTGGGGCTTCATGTCACACTTATTCCAAAAAATTATCTTGAGCAGCTAAAAGCTTTTGCAATCTCAGAATTGGCTTCTCTAAAATCCTTCTGGGAAGAAGAATGGAAACCAGCCAATGCTGTAGCTCAGTAGCTAAGGCTTCACCATTTTACAACGGGGACCCAGGGTTCAATCCTGGCTTAGGGAATGAGTCCTTTCTGGTTTAAAATCTGTATAACCTTTACCACTTGTTAATTCTCTTCTCCTCCATGAACCATCTTAAACTTTCCTTTCTCTGAGCACAAAAATGTTGGCCATTTGGCATGACTAAAGTTGGGTAATAAAAGATTTAAAATAATTTTTTAAAAAGAGTGCTATAGTTAAAAGTCAG